CAACACTGCTATCCCGAGGCCGATGCACAATTTCTTTTTCATGTACCAGGCGCTAGAAAAATTCATTAATTGACTCCAATACACAAAAAAGCATGACACTGCACATTTACCGGTGTTTGAGTGACAAATAATCAGTAATCGACTCATCCATACCTACCGTGATCGAGCTAGAGTCAATTTGATTTGCGAAGAATTGAGCACCTTTAAATCACAAGAAATGACTAGTTAAATGAAACTGATATTGAATATTCAAATGCATGCACTTGCTACGATGTGAATCATACTTGACGTCCAAAGGTTAGTAAATGAGTCGTCTGCGTTTGCAGAAGTTCAGCCTACCTTCAAAGGGGAGCTCGAGTAGTTCACACCGTGGCCGTTTTTGTCTCAAATGGACAATGAAGAGATCGGTGGCCGGATTCAGTTGTGACAACACTTCAAAACACGTGCCCGGCAGTAGCAAAATCTCATCTTCAGTTGGGAAATGCGAATGGTTTCTTATGGTTCGTCCGTTGAGTGTTTCAATCGAAAATAGAGTTCGCGTTCCAACCTTGCCCAAGTACAAATCCGACTCGAGAACACTCAACGATGAGGTACACGATGAAAATGCCCACCATGTGGCATCAGCGCCATTTGGATATGCATCACTTTGATCTTTGCGAACTCCGCGCCACACAATTTTGCCAGTTACTGGTGGAAGTTTAGCCAAAGCAGTAAAAAGTAATTTAAGGTAGCGGAACCATGGTCTAAGTTTACCTCAATCGGCCTGTTTAAGTGTTCGATTGAGACGTGAATAAAGACTTGCATGAGGATCATCATCGTCAGGGTCCCATTCTATAGTGTAGAGACGAATGGCGGCTGATTCTTCTTGGGTGAGACCATCAGCGGGATCTTTTGATTCCTCTTTAGCGATATGAATATAAACCGGTAGGCGAACAACGATAGGTAATAGCGGTTCGCAAGCTTCTTCCAGAGAGAGAAGGGGCTCAGAAGCATAACCAAAGATGGGCTCTAGAATTTGCTTTGGGTTCTCGGCGATATCTACTAGATAATGTGGACTTCGGCGCTTAACTGCAATGTTGTCCATGTAAATACTCTTTTATTTCTTTAATTTTATCTGCATGTTGTTTTACGAAGAGAAACAGAAAAGACTGTCTCATTTCAATAGCTACATAAGTCAAGCGTGTCGTGTTGATAGTGTATGATATCTAAGATATGACAGGCAACCTTCGAAATTGGCAAAAAGTTTCAGTCATTCGTTTACCTTCGCGGTTGCGCTAGTAGCGCCTCTTAGTTAATTACCTGTATTGTGAAGAGGCAAATGTGTGAAAATTTTACCACTGTTAGTAGATACAAAAAACATGTCTCACAATTTCAGCACAGAAGAGATGAAAAAGTAAGTTTTGTATTTAGAAATACTCAGTCGAAAATCCATAATCAAACTTCAAGTCTGATTGGATTGGTTCCACTAATCACAAAGCAGAAGTAAAAAATATCAAGGATATCACCTGCTCAAAAATTAAGGAACACATCATTTCGTTCGGCTCTATATTTGCTCTACGGATTTAGAAAAAAACAGATAGTGGTCATAGCCAGTAAGAAAACGCCGCACCCAAGGACCTTTCTCAACTTAAGATCAACATTAAGCGTAGGAAAAACTTTTCC